GCTCCTTGCATGTTTAATTTTCCATCTGCCTCCCTCTTATTCGAACACATACATCTTGTTTTGCTTCTGCTGGTTTTTATCCCCCTCCTCTCCAGAGCATACCTCCACATCTCCAGGCTCGCTTCCACATGCTTCCTGCTCTCCCTACAGATCACAATGTCGTTTCCACCCATCATAATCCACAGAGACTCTCGTCAGTCACCATGTTCTTTACCACTGCAGACAAGAAGGAGCTCGGAGCCAGAGTAGCACAGTTTCTCTCTCAGCAGCCTCTCATAGGCATTCTGTAGATCCACAAAGACACAGTGAAGCTCCTTGTGACCTTCTCTATACTTCATCCGCTCTCTCCAACCAAATATTGCCTCTGTGGATCTTCCTCAGTATCAAGCCATACTTCTGCTCACTGATCTCCACCTTTCTTCTTAACCTAGCTTCGACAGCTCTTTGCCATAGCTTATCACCATTATCCCTCTGCAGTTACTCCACCTCTTCTCCAACACTTCTTCTCCATTCTGCAGGCATGTCACTCTCCAAGATTGTGTTAAACAATCTGGTTAAGTCCACTGCTCTCTCACCTACACATCTCCATAACTCTAAAGGTATGTCATCTTAACCAGTGCTCATTGCACACTTCATCCTCTCCAGAGCTGCTCTCACTTCCTGCGTGCTAATCCTCTACACTTCCTGATCCACTAACTGTCCTTCATCCGTCCTTCTCTCTCATTTTCTTTACTTATCAGTTGCTCAGAGTACTCCTTCCACACTCGTCACTCATTACTACACTTCCATCTCTTTCCTTAATCTCCCCAACCAGCTGCACATCCTTTCCAGCTTAACCTCTCTGCCTGGCTAATCAATACAAGTCCCTTTCTCCTTCCTTAGTGTCCAGCCTTACATAAGTCTTGTTCTTTGCGAGCTAGCCTCTCAGTACTCCTGTCTATTTTCTCCGACTATCCAACTTCTTCCTTTGAATCTTGTCCTATACTTCCTTGTTTCGCCACCAAGTCTTCCTACCTTCTTTCCTTTATCCGAAGGATAAACCAAATACCAAATCTTGGGACTTTTCCCACAGCTGTGCTTTCTCAGTTATCGAGTGACTCTTCCTACCACTCGGTCTGCCTCAACTCTCCCTGAACTCTGTGCAACATTCTTCCTTCTTCAGCTTCCACCATTCATCATCTCCTTAATTTCCAAAGTCATCCTACAGACTGCCTAGCTGCACTCTCCTCTGACACCAGCTTGCATCCACCTATGTGCACCTTCCTCCGCCATTATGCCACCCTGCGCTCCTGCCTCTTCTTGAAGTCGGTGTTCACCACAGTCCTTTCG